TCTCGGTCCTAAAAAGGCTTTTTGAGACATGTAAATGACGGGTGCCAATTATAATTCGAAATTTAGAGAAAAGAGTTGCGTCTGTCAGTTGTCACTCAATCTCGAATATAGGTAGGTGAGAGATGGCTATTCGAAGAATGTGGAAAAATTATTATTATTGCATGATTCTTTTATTACTGCATTATTATTTGTAGCCTTCGGATGTAAAGTGTGCGATGCTGCCTGATGGAAATAAAAACTGAATAACTTCTGTCGATTCCCAGTTAACTGCCGCCACTCTTGCATATACAACTCTTCACTGAATAGGTTTTTTTCATTTATTACATAATTCTTAAAAAAGCTCTAGTTTTTCTCGGCGGACAGATGTCTTTAACTACGGACATAACATGGACGTTGAATGACAGCATCCTACGAAACATGGCACCCGTAGTCTGAACTGAGTTCAGAGTTCAACGACTTAACAACGCACCTGGCAAAACGATATTTATCACTGAGAAAGATTGGCCGATTAGGTACACATTCTGCAATGCGACTTGCCGGATGGCAGATAATGGTCACAAGTTTGCTGTCTTCACTTCTGATGAAGTGGTTGCACTTGACGTTATAAGAACCAATACTACTTCAATTAGAGATGGTTTATTTGTATGCACTGTGCATGCCTAACGATACGGTATAGAATATTTCATTTGTTTCGTATAGTGTTTGATCGTGATACAATCTTTCCGCCCCGTGTTTTTCCGATCCCAATGATAGCTGCGCAGTGCATTGCTGACGGGTGATGTCACCTAGTTACGAGTAGATCGCGCTCATTAAGTTCCACGGTAAATATCACACAAACACTGCGAGCTGACCCGATGATACATTGGGACCCCAATGAGCGCCACATATTTGCAAATGTTTGAGATCAATTACCGTGGTATAGGGCACGACTCGTCGGTTCTGGCGTCCTGTTTTCGCAGTACATACTTTATGAATCGTGTGATCGATTTACATTTGCGACGCATTGAGGTACAATGGGCCATGCTAATCTTTGCTACCTTTGGAGATACAGCCTCAGCCACCGCCTACCAGTGTCGTCTTGGCCACCAGAGCTGTTTGAGTTATTCATCTGCTGCTGCAGGGTGCTGCAATGTTAAATGTACGAATGATTGGTCGTGAATGTGGCGGGCACTCCTGTGTCCGAATGCTTGTCTCACTGTTGTCAGGGTCAACTACGCCGTATACCCGGGTCAGCTGCACCAGACTATACGGCTAGCAGCACCGGACGGCGAGATGAGTTGCACGAGATGCAGAGATAATCTCTCCTCAGCAGCGGGAGTCGAGAACGGACGGCAGGAGCAGATAGTGGGGGAACAAATGAACACCCGACCCAGGCGGCCGACACTCGGAGGTCACCATTTTTCTAACCAGCGTGACCTCAGCACCGTCCCGTGGGTATGACCTTGGCGCCCGTCATCTCTCTTGCGTCCTCCGTCTCCTCTCTCCTGCGTCCTGCGTGGGCGACATAGACACCTCCGCTGGACTCGCCGGCGGGATGGCCTGCCTCATCAGTATGCTCCTGTGGTGTGGGGTCACGCTACACCTGTCGGGGAATGGGGCAGAGGGGGGGGGGGGGGCACTACCACCGCCATCAGCTGGGTCACAGCTGTAGGAGATGGGAGTGTGGTCGAATGTGAATCTCCAAACGGAAACACCAAACTTTAATAATGTGCTGATGCTCTGTGCAGACATTCCTAAAAACACTTTGGGAGTCTGCACGAGTTAGATCCTCGGGCAGAATGAAATTCACTCTATTTTTTTAAGATAAGAATTTATGCCTATTGCGTACTAAACTGCTGTGTCATAAACAGCTTGTTTCGTCGTACCAAACGATGCATTACCGAGCTAGAAGTAATCCAGTATCCGGCGGTAACACATGTCAACACGCTTTACAAGGAGCTGCTCTTTCGCCACCGGTTATAAATGTAATCGGACCAAGACGGCGGCCGTTGGGAGAAAGTACAATCAGTAAACGGCTCCGTCGTCCGTCCTTTCTTACTGTCGGTTGCGCCACTGCACCGGTAGTGTTTGCTGCAGCGTGTGAGATTTGGCATCAGCCGCTGTTGCAAGGCGGTATGATCCAGGTACGATCCGCCTTGCCGCTGAGTTAGAGTCGAATAAAGTTGACTTGTTGAGGAGGCGAAAATTTACTGCTGGATTGTCGACAGATATCGGCTGTGATTAAGAGTATGTTTCTTCATCGCCTGGGGAGTTTAGCGATTAACGATGTCACGATATTCTCCTTGAGTGACCGGTTTTGTCAGTTCAATGCACGTCCCGAACTTGCAGGTCTAGCAGGCTGCAATGAGTTCCCGCCCCCTAGTCTTGGATGAGGAGATGGAATGGTCCCAACCACCGTACCGTCAGACAGGTCGTCAGGTACAGACTGGCCAGTGATCAGCGTACGGCAGTCGACCCGACGTTTCCCCTCCCCGACCCCCTGCCCTCCCCAGCTGGCCTCAGTGGTGGTCTGCACTTGCGGTGCCCCAAGGCGACCCCCAGGCCCATTTCAAGGACCGTCCTCTGCGCCCCTCTGCACCTTCGGCACTGGTGGCCTTGTTCCAGCCGGTGCTACATCACATTGTGCCGCTCTCTCCGCGACCTCTGTCCGACAGAGTGATGGGAGGAGGAGTGGAAAACACGGGGATCTCGGAGTCGAGTATCACGATGCTGTGACCTGACCTTGGGCCGGCGACTAGGCGCTGAGCTATGACTTCAAAGCACATTAGACTTTGCTGCGTAGGCGGGGATAAACAGTTTACGCGGAAGCTGTCAGACCTATCGAAGTTGGCGTGATCCCATTACTGATAATGTCTTATCGTCGGGTTCCCAACTTATTGGTTTGTGACTCCGACTCTGACCATTTTGGGACGGTGCTCTCAGCTCACGGAGTCGGAGCCGTCGACCGACACGCATTGACATCTGTTCACATCCACTATACTACCGGTGACAGTTCTATCGGTCCGCTGTTTTTACCACAACCGCTGCGTCACCACGCACTCTCCCTCTCTGAAAAACTGTCCCGCCGGCTCACTGGGTGGGCTGCGGATAACAGACGACACCAGCGCACCATTTGTTTGTGGTTTGTGGAGCGCTGAGCGATTGCCCTCCATTGGACCACCGCTGGGCGGGGAGGGGGCGGCACCCGGCACTTCTCGCGCCTTCCTTCCAGAACTGCTATCGAGGCAGGATAGGGCAGATAGATAGTTTAGTCACAGCGGCGTTCGTCCTTCCGTCTGTCTGTCCGTCCGTGTGTCGTCTGTCGTCTGCCGCCTGCCGTCTGCCGTCTGCCAGTCTGCCAGTCTGCCCGTCCATCCGTCCGTCCATCCGTTCGTCCGTCCGTTCGTTCGTCCGTCCGTCCATCCGTCCGTCCGTCCGTCCGTTCAGTGTCCAGCGGGCCTCTGCGGGTCGTGGCGGCGTGTTTGTGACGTGGTTGGGCAACTGGACGGACCTTGAACTTTGGCAGTCGTGCTGCTAGCTGTGTGAGGCGGCAGGGGCTTACACTGTGACTCTCCACATAAGGAAAAGGACGATGCTTGAGGTCACCAGGACTGCTCGAACTAGTTTTCAATGCGCCGTGGATGTGCATGAAACGGGTTTATCCTTCGCCCCAGGACCTCCGCAGCAAGCAATATTGTTTTCCGGTTTTTATTAATCCGACTAGGGGGAGAAAATGTAATCCACTCCTGCTCGTTATCCAGACCCATAAATAAGGCGCTTTCCCAATGTGTAATGACTCGTGTATTTATGTTCTGAGCATCCTGTTTTGGAATCCGCTCTGGCAGAGCTGTCAGAGATGTTCTCGGCTCAGACGGCTGATGTTACTAGGCGGACGGGACGGATACGGGACGGAGACGGGACGGAGACGGGACAGATTCGGGACGGAGACGACTCGGAGACGGGACAGAGGCGGGCAACGGAGACGGAGACGGTTTGGAGACGGGACGGAGACGGAGGCTGAGACGGGAAGAAGGCGAGACGGAGATGGAGAAGGAATGGAGACGGAGATGGAGAAGGGACGGGACTGCACTGATCTGAGATGGAGACAGACTGGAGATATGCTGGGCCAGTGACCCTGGAGCTAAATCCGGTCGAGTCGGAGCGCTAGCTTTCCTGGCCGCGTGTAAATACAGCTGAGGGCCGGAGTGAAGGCGACTGGGACCGACCGCCCCCTTCTCCAGGCGCGGCGCGCTCCCCCGGCTGTTATTTCTCTGTTACGACTGCCCCCCCCCACCCCCACCTCCACTGGGAGTTGTAACTTTTATGCACCCTTATGAAGTGACCCGCAGTCGTTAAACGCTACGACCGGGCCGCAGAGGTCTGAAACGGATGCGTCTCATGCCGTCTGGGCGATGTGCGGTGCTGCGTTTTGCTACCACCGTCTGGGCTGCTGTCTGGTGGTGCGGAGGCGCATCCCCGAGCTGCGGCCGGCTGTCGCGCTGTCTGGAGGGGCGCATTCCAGACCCATTAGTGGAAGTGATTGGGCGCTGCTGGCGGCGGCATTCGTTTATGTTCGTTTGGCGGGTCCGTTGTGCGCCCGTGGGTGGGAGATCATCCGCCGTGGGCGGCCTGTCAGGCGACGACATTATACAGTAGCGGGAGTGACCAATAAGAGAGCCATGTGATGTATGCTCGGGTGGTGGCTGTGCTGAGGTGGTCCGGTCAATAGGTCGCCAAGGTGGGCCCCACGTCTTTTGGAGCGATGACCGGCAATGTATTCAGAAGTGTGACTTACGTTTGACCTACCCCTGGCCCGTCCCCTATACCTCGCATCAGACGCGAGCGACGACTGCCTCTCTGTTTAATGTCATTATTTTATTGTGCCCTTTGGATGCGTCTGCTACCCACCCTGTTTCCGTATGACTCGATGGACGATGCGAGTCCGCCCATGTGTCCTGTATATGACCCTACTATGTGTCCGGTGACCCATTTATGACCCTTTCTTCCCTTGTCCGTTACAGAAGCGGCGGAGAATCGACCGCTCGATGATCGGCGAACCGACCAACTTCGTCCACTTGGGTCACGTCGGCGCCAACGACATGCAGCAGCAGGGCAGCCGGTACCTGAACCAGCTGCAGACTCAGATGTGCTCCAAGGGCCAGTACCAGAGCAATGGCCAGCAGGCAGTGCGGGTCAACTCGTGATGAGACGGTACGTGTGTGGTTGAGCATTGGTGGTCGCAGCCTACCCGGGATCACCGATAGAATACCGATGCCCCGCCTGTCTAGATACCTATATATATGTGCACCCTGAAATACTGTCGCCTGTTCCTAGTTCTCCTTCTAAGTCCTGCTGTTGCAGAATTCCTGTTGTGACCTATTAGTTCGCTGGAGGTTTTTGCTGGCGTCAACGGCGTTGAGCGACAGCTGCTCCAAGTCCCTAATGAATACAAGCAATGTCACAAGCCACTGGCGTGGACTGTTGAGCTTGAACACTCCTGATGTAAACACTAAGGTACTGAAATATTCACATGAATGTGCTGCCTCTGGTTGTTATTTCATGGGCTCATGAACAAGATCAACGTGGGACCTCAACCTTTTTGGTAAACGCACAGTTACCGCTGGCAGATCGATCCTTAATTTTCGATTATCGTATTTTATATTTCCGAAAAATTGATCCTCGCATATGTAGGTACGAAACACTAGACAGTCCGTTTATTTTTCCTCGATATATTCTTTCCCTAATTATCTATTGGGTTCAATAGGTACGGAGATTGATTGTATATATCTTTTATTCGCTTAGTTATCGTTAATTCATCGGTAAAGAGTTGTCAGTGCGTCCAATCTTGGTGTATGGCTGCGTCTCTGTTTGAGTAATGATAACCGAACACGGACATTTTTGGAAATCGATCGGAGAGAGCTACGTCAATGTCTATCGATGAAGTAACCTTCCTGTCGGCTGTGTAAATATTTATCGATATGTGGTGTCATCGATCATATCCTCTTTATCGATGATTGCCTGATACACGCCTGAAGTATATGCGGGTATGTGCGGCGAATCTTACGAAACTAACCGTGGTTATAAGCGACTGTTTATGTGTCAGGTCATGCGAGATTGCTCAATGCCCGTGAGGACGGTCGTTTGTGAAGTTTGTCCACTGGCGGTCGCAGCCGCTAGCAAAGGGGGGGGGGGGGGGCCAAAGTCACACTCGCGGGACATAACATTTATCCGTCACCAGGAGGGGGGGGGGGGTGATCGGCTAATTTTTTACGTCCACGAGGCGCCGCGCAGTTTCCATTACTTATGCTTCGTCCATCTCATTCTTACGTGAAATATTTAAGCTCAATTTAAGGCAAAATCACCAGTTCCATTTCCCGTCCCACGGTGCTTCCACCGGTCGGGCCACTGCAAAATGACGACGGATCGGTGTAGCATAGGTATACTGGAAGGTCAGGCACGCGGATTCATGACCTTACCACTATAAAACAATTCGGAAAAGTGCAGATACCTCTTGCTTTGAACAAGCATGTGAAACCCAGAGAGCATTTTCAGACTATGACATTTACCCATATAGGTACGTACCTAGTTGTGTGGCTGCGGGAGAGAGTAGGTACACCGACCTCTGGAGACCCCCACAGGTTCCGAGCTTTCAAAATTGGCATCTGAGGGCCGTGCGCGACTCCTGCGGGGCTTCGCAACGGCTCTATTGGGGCTCACTCAACCTGCCTAGTCCTACTGCTTAAAAGACTGGCCCTGAGCCCTAAGGACTTCATCAGTCTCTGCCAGTCCCAGAACCCACACCGGCTCATGGGGTCCCGACGTCGAAATATGAGGGAATCTGCGCGGGACCATCAGGACGTAAAGTAATCTCGACCAGGACCAACGTAAGGCTGTGCCGGGGGCTGCGTGAGCCCTCTGATCTTCAGAAACCCACCCATGTATGTTTTCACGTAGAGGCCAGTTTAGGACCCTCAGAGACCAGTACAGGGCCTGCAAACTACAAAGGCCAGTAGTTTGAGACCATCAGAGACCGAGTTGGGCTCTCAGAGGCTAATGTGGGTCCTTACTCATTACAGGCCAACATGGGCCCTCAGAGGTCAGCGTGGTGCCCTAAAAGACCGACATGAGCCGTCGTTGGACCCTAGAGGCCAGCAGAGGGCCCTCAAAGGCCAAGATGGGCCCTCCTCAGAGGCCAATGCAGGCCCTTAGAGGCCGGCATCGGGTCTTCAGCAGCCAGTGCGAGGCCCTCATTGGCATCTAAAGGTTCGTCTTGGGACACCAGAGACAGAAATAAGGCCACCTGAGACCGGTGTGAGACCCTCAGACGCCGGTTGGGGCCCCTGAGGCCGGTTAGAGGCCCTCATAGGCCAGATGTGGAGTCTCAGAGGTTGCTGTAGGCTCTTAGCGGTCAACGTGGGCGCTTGACCGCCACTGAAGTTCCCTCAGAGGTCAGTGTAAGACGCTTAAAGACCGGTGTGGGAGCTATATTAATAGCTGGGCGTGGGTTTTTTGAGCCTCGTGACGATCGAATAATTGCCAGGGCCCCATACACCTATATGGGGGCCCATTGGTTGTTTGAGGGGGGGGGCAAATGATATGATGGCCCCCTTTATTGACCTTTAGGGGGGCATGGCCCTGATGCCCCCCCCCCCCGCGACCGCCACTGTGCACACATTACACACATGTATCTGAGATTACATACTAGCTCACGCAAACTCTATGCAGGCCCCGGAGGTCCCACGCCAATCCCACGAAACCAAGCCGGCATACGGCGTCACCACCGGACTTCTAAGGTGCACAGCACCAACCCATGAGGTCTTACTTTAGTGTCTTAGAGCCAATCTCCTTTGGCAGGGCCCACCCGCCACTGCCGAAGAGGGTCTCATGCCAGACATTGCTGGGCCCACGAGAGCCTCAATTAAACCCACGCTGATATTCCATATAAGATCCGGCCATACTCGTGAACCGGTGCCAGCGACGCTGACCGCCAAATTGACAGAATGCGAAACTGAGCCCACTCATGAGTGAAATTTACGATTACGTCCTTTGATGGCGCAAGAAAGAAAATGAAACATACGAAAAGCTTTTCTAGGACTTTTGTTCGATCTGAAAGGTGGGGCCAAAAGATAGTATGGCCCCACCTTTCAGCACGAAAGGGGGGCCATGGCCCCCGTGGCCCCCCCCCCTGGGACCGCCTATGAGTTTGTCTCCACATTACGTCGTTTGTTCGATCATTTCGAATGCGTGGTTGTTATCAGTAGCCGATCATTAGTGCTTCGAATGCGGTTATCTCGTGCTTTTTCAACTTCACATACAACGTGCGTGCTAAAAACGCTTACACAGCGACAAATATCATCACCAGAATACTTAATTTGTGATGGGAATGATTACATCGCTTCGCTTTGGGTCTCATAACCCAATGTTGTGAATGAAGGTATGAACGATTCTTGTGAATGAAGTCGATAACTCGCTGTTGATCTCGCTTATGTATGAAGAAACTCGCCACCCAGACGGTATGCCGTCTGGGTGGCGGGCGTGCACATCCGCATTATTCCGTTTGCCGGATTACGGGCTCACTGACTCGTGTGACTTGTCGCTGGGTGCGTGTCCGCGATAAGCCTCATTTTCCTCGAGACCCCGCCCGCCCGATCGGGATCCGCGCCCACGCAGCTTCGACCCTGCACACTGCTGTTGGTGGTATTTGACGTCCCAGGGGGCAGGGAGATCTACGGATCACGGTGCACGGAGCCGCCACTGTGGCTCTCGCATCTGAATATAGGAAGAGTGGTACTCGTATAGGGAGTCGTGACTGGCCGCCTTCCTGTTTGGCTAAGGCATCCGTCGGCGTGTAAGTGCACGCGCTATTGTGTCCTATGCTGTTTACTCACCGAGTGTACACTGTACAGCCTGACTCCAGCTCCCACTTAGGGACGGCCTGATGGGATTGGGGAGACGGGGAACATGCTTGCGGGCTCATCTGTGGTGGTGTGATCTGAGACTTTAAAGGGCCTCGGGTCATAGCGGTCACCAATGCCCTCACCCTCATCCCTGCAACTTTTGAGCCATGGGTTATCAACCGATGGTGGCTAATGTTGACCCATGATAGGATGTTCAGCCATTGTTTCTGTTATACAAGAACCTTTGCGAAAATATGGCCCCATTTCAATGTTCATCCCCGAATTCGTCGCAAGGCTAGCCGACATCCATCGGTCGCCATCGAAGGACAGCTAGACGACAGGCTGAGGCGACATTCGACGGACACCAAGGTGACGGAGGTCACGCTGTGTCTCCTCGTCACGTGAACATTGCGCCTTTTGCGCAATGTTTTCGCTCGATTTGGGCACGGCACGTTTGGTACTCTACAGTAGGTATGCTGTAAGCTATCTGGCGTGACCGGTCGAGATATACAGGGTGTCCAGAAAAAAGATACTACGGAAAGTAAGTCGCATTCATTAACGCACGTGCCGATTTTGTTCCAACTTCATGCGCTTATAGTGCAAGATTTGGCAAAACTCATGAGCACTGTAATGCGTCGTTGGAAAGTTGTCTGGCTGCCCTCCGAGATGGTCAACATGACCATCAGTCACCTGCAGACCGTGCTAGTGCTGGGGGCTGATCCGCCGTAAGGCCGCTCACATTGAGTATCTGCTTTGAGGAGCTGCCGCTACTAACCAAAGAGTTAACATGCCATGTGGCACCTGCTGTCTGTTTTGCCATATTTTTGCGAATTCAAGCATGTGCCATTTTAAATTGTAAGGTGTCTATTTTCGGAATTACAGCAAAAAATAATAGTAGGTATCCGTTTTTTCTGGACACCCTGTATGTAGGTAGACGAGTTACGCAGCACTCTACAATCCACATACTCGAGAGGCCTCTTCTGTACACATTTGTGGCTGTGGTATCGGTGCGCGGAAGACAACTGTAGGTAGTTGATGAAACTGGGAGGCCCCAAGTGTCCCCAGAGGTCAGCGTTAGGTCTTGTCCTCAGCGGTCAGGGTCAGGTCTCGTCTGCAGAGGTCAAGGTCGAGCCTCGTCGTCAAGGTTGTACCTCGTCCTCAGCGGTCTGGGTCAGGTCTCGTCCGCAGAGGTCAAGGTCGAACCTTGTTTGCAGAGGTCAGGGTCAGATCTCGTCTTCAGTGGGCTGGGTCAAGTCTTCCCCCAGCTCTCAGGGTCTGACCCCGAGCTGCTGGAGGCCGGACCGCCGCTTCGGCGCAGACAACTGAACCTGTTGACACGCTGTTTGTATGGCAGGCTTTTTCTCACTTCTCGCTAGGAGTGGCTTGGTTTCTAATGACGTCGTATGCGGTGTCCGATATCATCTGGCAGTAGTGCGATATTGACGCGAACTGATAGCCTGCATGTTTATTCTTCGACATCTGTCAACAGACATGCCAGAAGGCCACTCAGAAACTTTTTGATGGACCAGCTGATTGCACCCCCTCCTCACTGAAGTGACCCTCACCCTGAAGATGGTAACCACCTCCCCCCCCTCCCCTCTCGTGCCTGCACCTGTCCCAGGCCCGTCGGCGCCGTCCCAGGTGTCCCTCGCCGGCCGATGGCAGGCCACCATCACCCATCGCTGGCTGTTCTGACCGCCGCCGTCACTGTCCCCGGGTGAAAAATAGCCGGTTGTGCCGTTTTTCCGATGCTGTGGGCATGTAACGGCCGTGGGAAGTTTTCTCCCCGGGTTCCCACGGTCGCTCATCGGGTGGTTCCCGGATCGCTCCCCACGATCGGATCCAGCCGTCCCGGGGAGGGGAGGAGAGGCAGCCTACTCCATGCTGGTGTGTGCTGGGGTGGATTACTTTGGGACAGTGGAGGTTTTAATATTTATGTAATCCTTATGGAAAGTGTCACTTGAAGCCTCGAAATGTGTGTCTAAATGTCATGTACTTGTGCAAAAGTAAACGCATGCTGTTCTCCTCACAGTGTTCTTCCTCCGTGTTACTGAGAAGCCAATTGGTCTCAATCTTATCCCCAATCGTCGAAAGCTGCCCCGCTACACCTGCGGCTGCGTGGACTGGATACTGTTCCGTGGCCCACTTAACACCTCATCTGTGTGTTACAGGCCGCTGCTGGGAAGGGGAGCACCAATCATCGACCGGCTTGTGTCGGTCACGTGACCTGGGCGGCCGGCCGGCGCGTATGTCACCTGACCAGTGGGGTCGGAGTTTCTAGTCGCCGTCGGAAAGCCGGCGCCGCGCCGCGACCTGAGATGACCTGAGGCGCCGCCGGACGCCGCAGGTACCGGCAGTGACCGCTGGCGGACCAGAGACGGCGGTCCGACGGCAGAGACCGTCCCGGTGCCCGCGCGGGACCGTGCAGTGTGGTGGGAGGACCAAAGTGGCGCCCGTAGGGTGGAGAGGCGCAGCGGCGACCCGCCCCACCCGGCCGTGATGTGATCCGTGAGAGACAGTGACCGCGCGGCGGGTCGAGACTGAGCGACAGACTCCAGGCAGAGAGAGTATATGTATGCGCCGCGCCGAATGCAGTGTCGAGAGTGTTGTGGATGTCTGATCAATAAACAAATGTTATAACTATGATCGTGCCGTGTTCGGTTCGACTAGCTGTTGTGATATTTGGGGAGACCTTGCTGAAAGTCTGGTCAATGAGATTATATTATTCGTTTTAAAACGGCGTAAGCTGCATTTCTGAACTATACCTACCTACGCAGCGAAACGGGCGAGGCGGCAAACGAAAGCCTTTGACAAGACGCCTCTGACGCATACCTAAATGTGGAAGTTCGAGCCCATTGGTTGGGTCAAGGTCAGGTCAAACATTGCTGAAATTGGGCTTTCAGTAGCAGGGACTTTGGGGCCTCATGCTGGGCAGCTCTTGTCATCAATAATTTCAGTGGAATGTCCAGAATAAATTGTCTTTTGGATCGTACAGTATTCTTCAATTAAGTGCTAACGACTGTCATGTAAGTAGGTATATGCAAGGGTCATTCAAGCATAGGTCAAGGTCAAGGTCAGATCAGGTTCAACAGTTAAGGACAGATCATTACCGTCAAGTATTCACGATAAATCACCAAGATAGTATCAGTTTCATAGTATCAGTGACAGCTTCATAACGTTAACGGCATGTTTTGCACATGATTACGTGATTTTAGATGATTTTTTTTTTTTAAATATATGTCACTTTTGGTCGAAATCTTAAAATTAGGTAGGTATAGGTAGTAGGTGGTACCCACTACCTATTGTCGGTATTGTAGGTGTAGCTGCAATCATGCATGTCTACGAGGTTTCTTCATGGCAGAGCGAAACGGCATGAGATAAAACGCATCAAATATGAAAGGGTGCGTATTATTTAGGCCAGGGTTCATAATGTCCAGGGCACAATGTGTCCAGTGCTCGAATTGGCCAGTGCCTTGAATTGGCCAGTGTTCACATTGTCCAGGGATTACATGGTCCAAAAGTGGCCAACTGGCTGCAGATAGGGTAAATTCAAAGAGGCCAGGGTTCATAATGTCCAGGGCACGATGTGTCCAGTGTTCAAAATGGCCAGGGTTCATAATGTCCAGGGCACGATGTGTCCAGTGTTCGAAATGGCCAGGGTTCATAATGTCCAGGGCACGATGTGTCCAGTGTTCAAAATGGCCAGTGCCTTGAATGGGCCAGAGTTCATAGTGTCCAGGGATTACATAGTCAACCCAACCCAACCAAACCTAACCTAACCTAACCTAACCTAACCTCACCTAACCTAACCTAACCTAACCTAACCTAACCTAACCTAACCTAACCTAACCTAACCTAACCTAACCTAACCTAACCTAACCTAAGGTAATGATGTTTGCCTACCAGGGATAAGGAAAAAGTTTCTCGCATGAATAGATTGCAAGCAATAGTAAATCAAATATTTTTAGGTTAAGTGGTTATGCATCAGGCTTCAGGCCTTCGGCCTGAAGCCAGATACATAACCACTTAACCTAAAAATATTTGATTTACTATTGCCTGTAATCTCTCCTAAGGCATTGCCTTCGGCACTGCACTGCTTTGCATTGAGCTGATTCCGTGTTTTTTACATAATGACGTCACTTTCAGTGACTATGTAATCCCTGGACATTATGAGCTCTGGCCCATTCAAGGCACTGGCCATTTTGAACACTGGACACATCGTGCCCTGGACATTATGAACCCTGGCCATTTCGAATACTGGACACATCGTGCCCTGGACATTATGAACCCTGGCCATTTTGAACACTGGACACATCGTGCCCTGGACATTATGAACCCTGGCCTCTTTGAATATACCCTATCTGCAGCCAGTTGGCCACATTTGGACCATGCAATCCCTGGACATTATGAACTCTGGCCCATTCAAGGCACTGGCCATTTTGACACTGGGCATAGCGTACCCTGGACATTATGAACCCTGGCCAGAATGAATGCTCCCCATATGAAACGTGCCGGTTTATAAAGTTTTGTGGATTGTGGTTAGCGTCTCCCGTCAAATTCACTTGAAGGTCGGGTCTAGGTCATTGACCTGAGATGACCTCAGTCGACTTTTTTAGTTTCGCCCACAACTTTTAGTAGGTAGTGTTTGAAGCTAATTGAACCCGTTTGAACATTTTGAATTGAGAACCAGTTTGATGCCAATGCAACATGCTGGGACGCCGCCACTGGGGGTAAACACCTTCAATGGATAGCCTGCCTGACGTTTGAACTGACTTGACCTGACCCGCTCTTCCATAAATGCATCAATGCCTACATCATCTTGGATAAAAACGAATGCATTAAATCCTCACTTCAAGAAAGTCGTAGCAGGTTCCGAGTTCCCGACTCTTATGTCATTGACCTGACCTGGAAGGTCAACGAATGTCCTGGGACCTTTAAATTGGGTAGCATCGGTTTCCTCTCGGGCAACACAATATATTTTCCGAAAGCTCCACCTCGATTAGAGGCCGAATGGCTGGCGGGAAGAGTTCGATCGACTCCGCAGACGTCAGTGGCTGTGAAAATGCCAAATAGATCGGTCGGACCGTGCAGTACCTACTGTGTGAGCATTTTCCCAAACGAGAGTTTATTAGTTTCTTTTTGTAGAACTAAACGTCAAATTTTCATCGATTTCCGGCCCCAATGGGAAAAGTATTTGCCCCACATGCCCCCTGCCCCTGGGTTCGCAGTAAGGATGTTTTAGGGCCTTGGCAGTCAGTAATGCTGTCATACACTGAGAAAAAAAATTATTCCCCTGGAACACCTTTAAGGGTGTGTACCAAACTGCACCTCGCTGGGGTGTCAGACGGGTGTCACTTTTGACACCAATGCAGGTGTCATTGGGAATGAAACACCGGGTGTCTGACACCCTTTTAGGTGTCTGATACCCTTTTGGGTGCACACCCAAAAGGGTGTCAGACACCCGGTGTTTGATTCCCAATGACACCTGTATTGGTGTCAAAAGTGACACCCGTCTGACACCCCAGCGAGGTGCAGTTTGGTACACACCCTTAAAGGTGTTACGAGAGTGTCCATTGGATGCCAAAAAAGGTGTCGACACATTCTTACATTTATTGGTTCAAACAGGCATATCGCATACAATGGCATTCCTATCTTGTATACAGCAACAAACTATAAAGTACAAAAAATATGGGCCCTATATTTACGGAGAAATCCAATGAAAACTCACCGAAACACATCGGGTCCATTCACAGTGAGAAGTTGCTCGCATTTCAGCAATGATAATTAACCGTCGATTATCTCCAACCAGATGTTATTCCGCAGTTCACTTGCTTTCGTTTCCATGGTGCAATGCTGTGTTGTCATCCTCACTCCAGACTTCAAATTTCACCGAGTACTGCCCGCCTCGTCATTTGAATAAACACGGAGCAAGCTACAAATAAAAGCTAAACATTATCATTAACGCACAATCACTTGAAGAAGTACACTGCGAACAACGTTCGGCGCCACTATATCCACATAAATTCAAAAAAAGCCCTGCCATCACTCACACCGCACACGCACCACGTGGCACGCCGCCGCCAACTGAAATCTAACGGCTTTCCTGCAAGGTGGCGCTTTTTGATCTTCGCATGGTTGACGCCGTGACTAGCACACAAATGACGTCACACAATGAAGCTTGCTGATTGGGTAATGATTCAAACCACTGGACCTGCTGTGGTTTCTAGCAGTGCTACGGAGTCAGAGTCGGAGTCTGATGGAGTTGGCAGTTCTGGCCGGAATAGGAGTCCATTTTGGAAGACAGAGCGGGAGTGCGAGTCACTGAAAATCCGTTAGACACCGCATCCCTGGTTCCTAACACAAGTGACGTCAGAACAATTTATGTGATGATTTAGGTTCGAATACACGACAGCTTTCAAACATTTCATGACTCATGCTGGAATGTTCCTCAACAAATGACAACACACGTGAAGGTATCACAAGGGTATCAGATCCCTTTTAAGGAACATTTTTGTTTACACCTTTTGAAGTGTTGATGGTTTAGGGTGTTTGACACCCGAATGGATGTTGGTGTAGGACACCCATTAATGTGTCTTTCTGAATCCCATCATGGTGTGTTTAAAAGCGCGTTGCACTTGAAGGTTGTCATCGTGGTGTTGTACACCTCCATGATTCCCAAAACAACATTTTTGACACCAATCTGGGCGTTATATATGACACTGCAATGATGTCCGACACCCGTGAGACACCCCATGGGAATATTTTTCCTATTTTTTTTTTCACGCTGTTTTTGGTGTCAGATCCTTTTGCAACTTGCAAGTGTCAATGTGACACCTCTAGCAGTGTCGGACACTCTTAACATTCCGCTTCAATAAATGGCAACACCTGTGAAGGCATCATAAGGGTGTCAGATGCTTTTAAAAGAACATTTTTGACACCTTTTAGGGTATTTGATACCTTAGTGTTTGATACCCGGATGGGTGTGGGTGTCGGACACCTATTAAGGTGTCATGCTGAATCCCATTAAGGTATATCTAAACGCTCGCATGCGAACGAACACTTGAAAGGGTGTCATCGTGGTGTTGTACACCTTAATGATTCCCTAAACAGCATTTTTCAACACCAATCTGGGTGTTCGATGACACCTCCAATGGTGTCTGACACCCGTAAAACACCCCTGGGGAATAATTTTTTTTCTCAGTGTAGGCGTATGAACAAGAGGGTACATGCCCCCCCCCCACTTTTCAGCCATTTTTTTTAAAGATGTTTTTTATTTTTTAATCAACTTCCTACAAAACTAAGCAGGAAAGGGTTCAGCAAGGCGAGATGAGCACAAAACTGCAAAAAAAATTCTTCATAGGGGTATTGGGGCTCCCACAAAGTGGCATTGTAGTTTCGCACACACACACACACTTTTCGTGAGGTTCCTACGCCCATGAATGTTGTCCACTGACCACTGACCACCACTGAGCAACTTTCGCCCACGAGGAAGGTTGCTCGCTCCTAGCGATAGCTACAGCTGTATTTAGGCCAGGGCCTTGGCTACAGCTACATCTAGGTACCAGAAGAGATTGCTGAACTAGCGACATCTGTCCAACTCACTAGCGACATCTGTCCAACAGACCCTGGGTCTGTTCCCGTCGCTCCTCCCAAAAAATCTCGGATGAGCTTGGATGAACTTGTAGGAGAGCCGTTTCAGAGGAGCCACGGGAACATTTTTGCGAGGAAATCAGCTGTTTGCGGGCTGTAACGGTCGGCGATTTATGGCGCGCAAACATAGATTCAGAGATAATAATCGCTTTCTAATAAAATAACCAAAGATAAATATCGAGCATTACTATTAAAAGATATCCCATCCTCATCGATCACTAAAATCAATTCCACTTCCCTCAAATCTCATTTATAAACAATTCACATTTGTATTACGTGCGCCAAATATGTCTACGCAGAGCCTCCTCCAAAAATCCAACTTTCGTTTGGGATGAGGGAGGAGGCAAATAGTGGTGGTGAGATGTGAAATCAAGATGAGCTTGGAGGAGCTTGGAGGAGCGACGGGAACGATTTTTTGAAACGAGAGGAGGTTAGAGGAGCTTGGAGGAGGTTGGAGGAGCGACGGGAACAAACCCCATCTGTCCAACTTACTTTGAACACAAATGGTCCAATATGAGCAATAAGCAGAGCTGGGCAAGTGAGTTCCTTTAGTGCGTTCCTGCGTTCTTCCGTACGTACGCACCGCCCTTTTTAGGAACGCAAGAACGCAGGAACGCAAGGTTTTTCAAAGGAACGCAAGTAAGAGGAACGCACCACCCGAAATTTTGAAGCGTTCCTGCGTTCTTGCGGAACCACCCGAAAAATTATATTGCTGCCAATGACCTCTGTGTCAAATGTTTGAATCTCGAGTACGTGTGTTTGCCGGTAGAGGCGTCACTTGTCGGTCGAATCGAAGAAGGCTTGCTTAGATTTAGTGGTGATGTTTACTATTCGATTCGGTTTCAGGCATTAAATGTGTAAAGATTTTTAGTGGTGATGTTTACTATTCGGTTCAGTTTCAGGCATTAAATGTGTAAAATAAATATGATAACTTTTACTAAGATACATCTTTTAACTTAACTATTGTTTTTAAGCAGGTCGTATTTTTGTTGAAAACCCTACGGATGATGTTCGTAAAACCACGGATCACATAACGGATCGGCAACTCCCCCCCGCGACCTGTCTCCCCTGCCACCTGGTGGGCATTTAGGTGAACTATCTTCACTAAGGACGCGGCCGGCCTCGTGCGTGTTGAAGGCGTCGTGTCGGAGCCAATTAAGTGATTTTTCTGCGGAACATGGTTTCTCAGCTAGCTCAGAAGATATCTATGGTATAAATGAGAATGGCAAGAATCGTTAGAGACAGGTTAAGTATTTGAGATTGTATCCTTTGTCATGAAAATCGTTGTTTTCATACCCACGTGGGCGACCTAACGTCCATCGCGAAATTGGTAATTTTCCGATCGTTGTCATCTCTTACATATATTTCATGAGTATATTTTTGACAAATATTCATCTGCCGATTAAATTAAACCTGTAACTTTCACAAATATACTTGCATAAAGCATAAACCCACGCCGGGCCGGTACACGGTACCAACCGCGCCGGGCCGAGGGTGTATGAAACCCCCGCCCCCTCCCCCCTAACTCGGCTTCTGGGCCACGTAGTCACACGGGGTAAGCGGCATTCCAAAGAGCGTAAGAAATAATGGCGGGAATACTCGGTCATTTTTAGGTCAGGTCAAAGGTCAGGTCACCAGAGGTCATTAAAGGCAAATTTTGTCTATTTCAACAATTTTCGAAACACCCGACGCATAACTTGGGAACTAACAGAACTACAGCGCCGCGGAAAAGCGCATTCGATAGCTCTTTCACAGGTCTTTCCGAGTTGTATTCTTAGATTTGACCTCAGGTCAACGGTTTAGCCTCCAGAGGGCAAAAACTAAAAAAATAGCCGTGTTTACGAAAACGTTTTTTTCGGCAATAACTTTTGACTCAAAAGAGCCATGACATTACTTTTGCCAGCATCGTGTTCCTCTCGCCAAGACGCGTCGAATGAACTATAATTTGACCTTGAAAGGTCAACTTGAAAACTTGACCTCAGGTCAAGGTCATGACCTGACCGGAAAAGGTCATGCTGCATATCAGTCGATCTGCAACGTCGAGCCGAACACATCTGAGGCGTTTTCAGCGCTCTAGCGCACCTCTATCAGAAGTTATTAGCGAAAAACTGTTAGATTCTGTTCGTGACCTGAGATGACCTCGGGGACATAACGAGGGGTCACAGTTGCCATTTTCCGGTTCAGTGTGTCAATTTTACCTACATTTCGATGTTTGAGAGTGTCTAGAATAGCGTTCGTGCAAAACAGACGCTTTTCAATTTTCTCCCATTGACTTATTTATAATGGAGAGGCCGCAAAATTGACCTGACCTTAGGTCACCGATATCAAACTTCCGAGATGAACATTTTATAGATAATGTTGCTCTTATCAATCGCTGAAAGATTCAAGGCAATCGATCATTCGGTGTAGCTATGACGAGCATTCTTATTTTTTCTGAGGTGAGGTCACTTGGCGTAATCTGGTGCCCTGACCTAAGGCGATCTGGGTCTGCAATTTTCACATGTGCGGAAAAGATGCACGAACAGGTATGCCAAAAACGGGCGCTCCCCGCCGCCGTATTTGAGATATCTGCGAAAAAACGCAGGGGGGGGGGGGTGTTCAAACAACCCCCGGCCCGGCGCGGGTTAAGAGACCATTGCAGAGCCGGAAAGGTTATAGGAATTGGGAGAAACGTTGGTCTGGACAGGCACCCTAGAGAGTCACCAGGGCTGAGCCCGTCCGAATGGACAGGCCGACAGCCCCCAAAGCACTCTCTGCACCCGGCTACGGGTGTGCTCCCTTGGGAGCAGTGGTGCGCTTCAAGGGAGCAGCCCGCATGAGATAAGGTTGCCTGTCCAGCCCGGATCGAGAGCTGCTGCGTGGAGGAGAAGGATTTGAACTTGATCTGAACATCCTGAGGATGAAAACGACGGACGGGTGTTGCGTTCACACCCGTTTCCCCGTGCCTTTTAACACTGGTTGCGGCGGGCGGCCGACTCCCCTCCTTAGTGAAGATATCCGCGCCGCTAGATGGCAGCCCGCTCCGCGGGTACACCGATAACAATGGGAAGCGGGGAGAGTTGCCGATCCGTTAGGTGATCCGTGGTAAAACGTATTTCAGATATTCGATTCGGAAAAGAGATGTCGAGTTGCTTTTCGGCCCCACGTCGCCATTCTGGGTATTCTGTGATCGATTCGCCCCGTGTTTGGTTGGGCCCGCGCCGCGTGGTTCGGCGGTATTTTTGAGGGAGGAACGCAGGAACGCAGGAACGCTAACGCACCGAACGAAAAAAAAAATGAGGAACGCTATTCCAGGAACGCACTAACCGCGGCCGGAGGAACGCAGGAACGCTAACGCACTACCGAAAATCGAGGAACGCGCCCAGCTCTGGCAATAAGCAATCTAACTGGTCTCGAATTCGATCATAGACCACTATATGTCATAGACATAGACTCGATCATAGACCAATATTAAGTGGTCTATCTATGTCTCGATGTATGTTAGCTAAATGCTAATGAAACCGGCACACAGAATCAGGGCTGCGGAGTCGGAGTCGGAGTCGGAGTCGGAGTCGGTCGGAGTCGACAGTTGTGACCGGAGTCGGAGTCGGAGTCGGAGTCGATTTTAGAAACCCGAGCCGGAGCCGGAGTCGGAGTCACCGAAAATCTACCGACTCCGCAGCCCTGCTAGGTCTGCGGAGTCAGAGTCGGGAGTTGGAGTCGGTCGGAGTCGACAATTCTGCCCGGAGTCGGAGTCGGAGTCGGAGCTGGTTTTTTAAAGCCGGAGTCGGAGTCGGAGTCGGAGTCGCCGAAAATCCATCGACTCCGCAGCCCTGCACAGAATGTAAAAGAAGCTGACTGACCTCATGGCGAGAGTAACACTGTAAAAAACTAAAAATATACCACAGAAAATGAGGAATCCATTTCCCTCTATTTGGACAAAGCGTCGTGCCGCCTGCCACCATTGTCATTTTCGTTCAGGATATTGATGTTGGTCGTCATGATCCATCGCCCTCCGCCGTCCGCGGCCCGCGCAACCCAATCAAATCAAATCAAAATATGCTGCAGCCGCAGACGCGTTGAACTACGGCATCCGTTGAAACTTTGCAATATTCCCTCTCACTCTAGCCGAGCTGACTCGACTTATTGGGAGTCAAGAGTCAAATCAAAATGAGTATGCATGCAAATGAGTCACTAGTTCAATGATCTCGAAATGATTGAGTTTTTCATATTCCTAAAGCATATGTGATGTCACTGGATCGATTAAGTTTGTGTCAAAATCAAGGCCTTATGAACGCAAAATGTGAAATCAAAATACAAATTTCTTTAAAAATATACTCTGAAATAGAATTCAAGCATCCTTTCTATGTATAAAACAGAATTCTTTTCTTTTACAGCTTCTGAACTCGAGTGCACAGATAAATAGATAAATGAATAAATTTGATTCGTCAAAATTTGTGACGTCAAAATTAATTTACCCTACGAAGGATCTCTTATGACGTTGCGACGAATTCGGCGCTCGTCATTTCACTGGTAGTCGTCGAGAGAGAAAGTGTGTTGATTAGGGGGACTTGATCTCATTACAATTACAGGGCAATATTATATCAATGAGGTTGTCACTTGTGTAAATGATTCACTGATTTCAATTTTTTAATTGTTGAAAGACTGTGGGTACCTATTTAGTTGCGAGCCGTGTCCAAGTCGGCTTTATTTTCATCTCGACCTTCAAGATTCGACTAGCGTCTAGCACTTTGAAACAGGTGAGAAAGTACCTAGTTATGCAGAGTTAATCTTAACTTCCCTGACCCAACCTTATCTTATGGGCGCTGATGACCATTGCAGTCCGGGCGCCCTAAAATCCCAGATCATCATCATCACAACCTAACCTCAAACCTATAAATAGGCAATAGTGGCTAGAGCGGGGTATTAGTATATATAAGGTCCGAGTGGCGAACCGATTATGAAAAGCATACTATACGATGTATTTTGAACTCCTCATTTCATATCTGATAGTTATTCCTTCTGGAACCAAGTATCAAACAGTGCTGCCAGATTTGGAGGATTTCCGCAAATCTGGAGGATTTTGAACTCTATTTGCGGACAAATTTCGCTTTCGGAGGATTTTTGATTCTGGAGGAAAATCTGGAGGATTTGTCGCCCGATTATTATATTCAATTTCATGGAAAAATATAACACATTCAAGACTAAAAAGGCATTTTCCTGCCAAGCGTCACCCTACCCGTTAGGATATACCACGTCCTTTATCACCGTGAGACTGCAGAATGTCTCAGTCTGTAGCTATATCTACGAGGGTGCCAAACTACTGGCGGATCTTAGGGGGACATTTGGGGCAAATGCCCCCGGTTCCCCTGCAGCGCCCGAAATCGACGAAAATTTTCGTTTCTTTTTGGAGGATAAAACGAAAACGAAACAACTTTTATAAGAAAAAGTATCTTTTAAACTGCACAGCAGTGCGAAAGGATTCGAAATCCGATGAGTTTTTAGAATTTGGTGAAACTTTTTTGGGGGTATAGCCCCCCGCAGCGTCCAAGACCGCCTTTCTATATCTACCAATAGGATTTGGAGGAATCTGGAGGATTTTTGTAACTGATCTGGAGGATTACAGCCTTCCCCATCTGGCAGCACTGGTATCAAAGCACCTATAAACATGGGTGAAACTTTGACATCACCATTGGGGTCCCAAACGTCCAAGGGGGCCAAGGGGGTCCATTTAGTGGGGGCCTCCAAGCAATTAGGGGCCTCCAATTGCGGAAGCGGTAATTTACGAACCACGCCAGGGCCTCCTCTAAGAAATTTTCATTTGGGGACCAGAGGCTCAGAAGCCAAACCTGGGGTACCTACCCCCAAATCCAGTTTTCTCATTGGATTTAGGCCACTTATTTTTCGTCACAGCTCTGATGCCATGATTTTTTTTTGAATATTGATAAAGAGATGGTAGGTCTGGTGGATCCAGGCCAGCAGGGTGACATTGTATATAAATATCCCCCGCGGCATCCAAAATCGACGAAAATTTCTGGCTTTTTCACTGTTGACAATAAAACATAATGCCTTTATTATACAAAAAAATTAACGGCACAGCATTGCGCAAGGAATCTAGCTGTAAGCCTACCCCAGAAAATGTGAGGGTTAACCTTCGCCCGCACCTGGGGGGAGGGTCGCCACCCCCAAGTTAGTTTTTCTGCTCTACACTTAACATTTTGAAAGCTAAAACCTGATTTTTTTTTATAGCTGCTTTTCTATCATTTCTCAGCGTCCATTGAAAATTTCAAGTTTCTGTGGCTTTTGGGTTTGGAGATATGACCTTGTTCTTCAGGTCATGTCATGTCCTAAATGACGAATACCCAATATCTTGTGATGGCTATGGGCCTTGTGAGCTTTTGACGCGCTGATTTCGGCTTTTTTGCCAGTCTTACCTCCCACCTATCATTGAACATGTTGTTCTGCGATGTACAGATGTCAGGGTCAAGGCCAACCTAGGTCATCTAAAATAATTGCGCTTTAGGCAAGCTGAATTTACTTTTCGTGAAGTTTCTTTGACTGTATGTTTAGTAAAAGCTTCTCAGTTCATGATCAAGTGTAATAGGGACACACAAACCGATCTGTGCGTGTGCACACATCAGTACATACACCGACATACACAGACATACAAACACATATCATTAACCTTGACCTAACTTGACGTGAAATGACCACAGCCAGCAAATCAGTCGGATAGTGTGACAAAGAGCTGTTCTAGCTGGCTTGGCACCAATACGGCAGCGTCATCGGTATATGATGGGTTGGCCCGCTGCTTGTGTTGTGTAGGTATCTTATTCGACATCACCACAATTTTTTTTTCTTACAAGATATACCGATGACGTCAAGAGCAACAGATTCTTTGGGAAGAGACGAATCCAATGATACCAATTTTACCTCATCAGGTCAGTCATTGACCTTCCAGGTCAGGTCAAACTAAAGAATGTTGAATTAAAATGAAATCGGACTTACTCCACAAGAGTTCGTTGGGTCGGAGCTTTCGAATTGTATTACAATTCTTCGTCAGCGAGAGTCGTATCGGATGTTAAGATCGAATCGAAGGTACAGTGCGGATCGAACAAAATATGGGTCGGACAGGAGGGTCTCTGAGGCAACTAGTTGGTCTTGAAATAAACATACAAACACTGGGAAAACACGTGAATAATAACAGGATGCACACTTACTAGAAAAAGCCTGTAAAATGGGTATAAAACACACTAGTAAAATATCTAATACAAAATATAGGCAGGTAGGTAAAAATACAGTTAATGACATGTAAAAAATTGCATAGATTAGGTGCAAACAGTACCTAAAGCAGAGATAAAGCTTTACAAAAACACGAATAGTAAACTAGACTAAGATATAAAATATCAAAATGATAATTTCTATAAATGAACTTTTTAACGGCAGAAACGGCGAATAATGGGAAGCCACCTGTCTTGCAGCAGGGCACCAGAGTTGCGGTTCACATTCGCGTCATTGGGTGACACTAGGACGGCTTCCCGCCGTCCCACGGTCCGAATGTAGGCCGATTCGAGAAGGAGTCTCATCTGGTGGTGGCAGGCACGGTTCAGGATTTTGGCGTCGTCGAAGGCCGGCGTGCAGTCCCGGTGCGTGCTGAACGCTGAAGCGTTGGCTCTGGAGCGGACCGAGCCAGCCCAGCTCTCTCGGTGCTCGCGGACTCTGGTTCCAAGTTCTCGGTCCGTTTCTCCGATGTAGACGACCGGGTCACCTTCTACCCGGCAGGAGCACTCGATGCAGTAGATGACATTGCTCTCCTGCTGCTTGGGTAGACGGTGCTTGGCTTGGCTACAGAGGAGGGTCCCGATGGTCTGCGACGGCTTCGACACGAGCTGAATGCCGATCTTGTTGGCTTCTCGCTTCAGTTGGTAGAAGCAGGGACCAGCGAACGGAACCGAAAGAGTTCATTTATAGAAATTATCATTTTGATATTTTATATCTTAGTCTAGTTTACTATTCGTGTTTTTGTAAAGCTTTATCTCTGCTTTAGGTACTGTTTGCACCTAATCTATGCAATTTTTTACATGTCATTAACTGTATTTTTACCTACCTGCCTATATTTTGTATTAGATATTTTACTAGTGTGTTTTATACCCATTTTACAGGCTTTTTCTAGTAAGTGTGCATCCTGTTATTATTCACGTGTTTTCCCAGTGTTTGTATGTTTATTTCAAGACCAACTAGTTGCCTCAGAGACCCTCCTGTCCGACCCATATTTTGTTCGATCCGCACTGTACCTTCGATTCGATCTTAACATCCGATACGACTCTCGCTGACGAAGAATTGTAATACAATTCGAAAGCTCCGACCCAACGAACTCTTGTGGAGTAAGTCCGATTTCATTTTAATTCACAATTCATCTCCACATCATGTCTTTAAATCTAAAGAATGTTGCTGTTTGGGGTCACCGTTGCCCGTTGGAATATCACGTGCGCTGCTCATCATATACCGATAACGCTGTCGTATTGTGGTGCCAAGCCACCTAGAACCTCTTTGTCACACTATCCGACTAGGTTTTTGCTGGCTGTGGTCATTTCAGGTCAAGTTAGCTCAAGGTCAATGACATGTGTTTGCATGTCTGTGTGTGTCTGTGTGTATACTGATGTGTGCACCGATTGTGAATGTGTCCATCTTACATGAGATCATGAACTGAGAAGCTTTTACCAAAAATGCAGTCAAAGAAACTTCACGAAAGTAAATTCAGCTCGCCTAAAACGCAATATTTTTAGACGACCTAGGTTGACCTTGACCCTGACCCTGGCATGTCTACATCATTGAACAACATGTTCCATGATAGGTGGGAGGTAAGACTGACAAAAAAGGCCGAAATCAAGGTGTCAAAAGCTCACAAGACCCAACGCCAACGCAAGATATTGGGTATCCGTCATTTGGGTTATGACATTACCTGAAGAAATAGGTCATATCTCCGAAACCAAAAACCACAGAAACTTGAAATTTTCAGTGGACGCTAAAAAAGGATAGAGCAGCAGCTATACCTACGAAACATCCGACTTCTAGCAATCAAAATGTTTAGTGCAGAGCAGAAAAAACTACCTAGGGCGGGGGGGGGGGTGGCAACTACTGCCCCCCCCCATGTGCGGACGAGGATTACCTAAGTAATTTGAATATCAGGAAATAATTTATCAAATCAGGTATTCCAACAGAGTCCCGCTTTTTATAGGTGACCTCCGATTTGTGTTGCATCTAAGTTGCCCAGGGGGCCTCTTATTTGTAATTGTAGGTACAGTACAGAGAGCCTCCTACTTCGACTACTTGCACAGAGAGCCTCCTAGTGTACATACAGCTAAGCTTCTACAGGTCGAGCGCCGGTCTCTTGTACGTACAGAGAGCCTCCTACTGTTACAGAGGGCCTCCTGTTTGTCTAGGGGGCCTCCTATTTGTCCAGGAGGCCTCCTGTTTCTCCAGAAGGTCCCCTATTTATCCAGGGGGCTTCTATTTTCCAGGGGGATTCCTCTTTATCTATAGGGCCTCCTACGTGTTCAGGGGCCTCCTATTTGTCCAGGGGCCTCCTATTTATCCAGGGGTCTTTTATTCGACTAGGGGTCTCATATTTGTGCAGGGGCCTCCTATTTGTCCAAGGGTCTCCTACTTGTCCCGGGGCCTCCTTTTTTAAGGGACTCCTTTTTGTTAAGGGAGCCTTCTATTTGTCCAGGGGGCCTCCTATTCGTACAGAGGGCCTCTA